TTTGTGCTTTGCTAACTGAGAAGGGAAACTCAGGATTGTTAGCTGAGCAGCGACGTGATCCAATTTTCACTTGAGGCAGATCACACTGACCGCCCTGTGAAGGGCAGGTGTCGGGGACATGTCGGGGATCGATTACCCGAGGCAGGGAGGCTTATTGAAAGACCCAAGTGGTATGGGCTGAACTGTGCACCCTCCCCCCCAACACACACACACACAAAAAGATGTTCAAGTCCCAACCTCCAGTACCTCACAATATGACCTTATTTGTAAACAGAGTTGTTGCAGATGTAATTAGTTAAAATGGGGTCATTCTGGTGTAGGATTGGTCCCTAATCCAATATGACAGGTGTCCTTTGTTATAAAACAAAATTCAACTGAACAAATCTTATTGGCTTTATTCAGCGATTTACGAATCGGGCGGCATCCCATCGAGCAGGGAAAAGAGCTCTGAGGAGCTGGGCAAAATGAAAGACCTTTCTAGTCAAAAAGGGGCAGGGCGAGGGAGTCACACTAGTAAACAGTGGACTAGTTGTGGCAACGCCACCTTCCTTTAGGGAGTCGGGGGTCTATCAGGCAGGTGACCTCACTAGTGCCAACCAGGCAATTCCAGACTGACTGGTTTAAGATCCCATTCCTGGGAGAGGCTGACACTGTAATTAAGTTAGGTAGTAAGTCTCCATTCAGTGATGTGTGGCTTTGCATAAGTGACTCCATTTGGGGCCTGTTGTCTCTGTTTAAACAAACACCTTGTCAGAAGAACATCGTGTGGAGAGGCAGACACGCACTCAGGGAGAAGGACATGTGGAGACTGGAGTGACGCTTCCACGAAATAAAGAACCGCCAGGAGCTAAAGAAAAGCCTGGGGCAGACCCTCCCCCAGAGCCTTCACAGGGCCCGTGGCCCTGCCCCACCTTGACGTAGGACTTCCGGCCTCCAGAACTGTGCCCAAAGAATTCCACTTGCTCCGAGCCACCCCATTTGTGGCACTTTGTGACAGCGGCCCCAGGAAACTGATGGACCAGGTGAGGGGGATGGCAGTTCAAGCGGAACGGGAGTGGGGACAGAGGACAGCGAGAAGCCGTCATCAGAACCCCGGGCTCGTTGTGGAGATTGGACGGAGAGAGATTAGGGTGACTCGCAGCTTTCTGGTAGGGTGACCGCGTATTCCGTGATGCCATCCACTGAAAAAGGGAAAGTCCACCTAGAATGCAAGCTCTGTGACCTAGTATGAAAAAATATTTATTAGTCATCTATTGCAGCTGAACAAATTACCCCAAAACCAGACAACTTAAAATAGCGATAAGGATTTGTGGTCTCCTATACTTTCCATACATCGGCAAGGCAGTCCTGGCTCAGAATCCCTCAGAGGTGGCAGTTAGATGCGAGCCAAGGTCGCCATCATCTAAAGGTTTTTTTGGACAGAGTCTTGCCCTCCTTTCGAGGTGCTCACTCACGTGGCTAGCAAGCTAGGGTGGCTGATGGTGGGGGAGTCTCAGATCCTCTCTGTGGGATCTTCTCCGCAGGGCTGCTTGGGTGTCCTCAGAGCTTGATGACTGGGTTTTCCCCCAGAGCGAGCAAGTCAGGGAACCAGGTGGAGCTGCAACGCCTTCTGTGACAAAGCTTTAGAGTCGTACACCATCACGTTGACTGTATTCCGTCGGTCGCACAGCCCGCCCCTTAGATAATGGGGGAGGGAACTATACAAAAGCACAAATGCCACAAGGTGAGTGTGACTGGGGGCCACCTGGGAGACTGGCGACTACAGAAAGTCAGAAGGGAAGGGGGAGGGGCTATCGAAGCCATAATAAAGGGTAAACAACACCACATGTGTGTCTTCCTTGTGAAGACTAGATGCTTTCATTTCACTATTTTTGCCTTCATTTTTAAAGCTAATTTTCTGTGAGTAAAACTCAGCAAAGTAACATGAATCAGTACACATTTCAACTACGTGTACTTATTTTTTTGAAAATCCTTACTTTTATCCCTATGGTTTTTGAAAAATTTTAATCCTATCTCAGCGGGCGTTTGCCTATGTTTTTAAGTGGGATGCCAAACTTATGATGAATTGTAAATATCTCCTCAGTTTTCCCATGCCCCATCCTATTTGTCTATTTACAGTAGCACATAAACTCGTTGCTCCTAAGGAATGAATTAGTAATTGCAGACATATTTATTTCAGCAGGCCTATATCAGTATTGCTGTGTATAAAAGGCTGCGTTGGCACACATCACAAAAAAATGCAAGCCTGTCCCAAGAAGTTCTCCCTGTGGAGCTGGTAGGGAAGAGCTTCGGGCATCCGAGAGAGAATCCAGTCTCTGCCTCTTGTCAGCTCTTTGATTTTGGACAGATCATTTAACCTCAACCACACTTTCTTCATCTAGAATAGGGTCAATCAACTTTCTATCAAGAACCAGATAGTAAATATTTCAGGCTTTGTAGATCACACAGTCTCTATCACGACTATTTAACTCTACTATTGGCTCATGAAAGCTGCTGTATATATACATAAGCAAACGAGCATGGCTACATCCCAGTAAAACTCTATTCACAAAAACAGGCAGTCGGCCGGATTTGGTCCAAGGGCTATTGTCTGCCAACCTCTGCCATCCCAGCTGATAGCCAACTCAAGATGTCAGTCCCCTGAGCCATATCAGTTCAGAAGTGGGCGTATCTAAGCGCGTCTGTGCCAATGAGACATGAGGAGAGCATTAATGGAGGCTTCTGGGAGATCAGCATCCTTAAGAAAATGCTGCCGTACAAAGCTAGTCTCTCTCCATCCCAGGCATGGACGAGAAACCTTAAAGGCCCAATTACCACTTACAGCCGTCCTAAGAGCCTTAGCAAAAATGTGACAATGTGGAGGGCAGGGAGAAGCCTTTCTCTAGACTCCTTTTCATGTGAGCTAAAAAAAAATTCCAACTTCTCCGCATTAACTCTGAATTGGGTCATCTGTTATTTCAGCTAAAGGCATCCTGAGTAAAAACCTCATTTAAAGGATAGTTCTGAAATCTAAAAGGGATAATGTGACCATGGCATGTAAATCACAAAGCTCAACCAACATGAACATTAGTGATATTGAAATAATCGCCAAAAACCCCTCCCCAAATCATCCCCAAATCATCAGTCACATTAATTGTATATGCAAGACTTTGACACCCATCTTCCATTGAAAATGAAGATCCTTCATCTCTCATCAATAATTTAAAAAAAAAAAAAAGCTGCAAACTATCATTTCTTTTAGCTTGGGATTCCCAACCCACATAAGAAAAAACTCAGTGGAAAGAAACCAACAGTAATTATTAGCCTGTCAAAGCGATGCAGTGAGGGTTTTTACAAAGCAGCTCCCCTCTCTCCCTCCTTCCCTCCCTCTCTCCCTCCCTTCTTTTTTTTTTCTCCTGGAAAATAGCAATGCAGAAACTCGAGTTTGAGGAGTGTGGGACTGGAGTCAAAATTCCAGCTCTGCCTCTGAGTAAATCATTACATACTGCATAGTTCTAGTCCTCATAAGTAATGTTCTCCAGTCTCAAAAGGGTAGAAATAGGGATTCGTGGTTATTTATTAAAATCAAACAGCACTGAGGACCTTATAAAGTTAAACCACTTACTCTGTCATTCTCTCTTCCTCGTCTCCCCCTCGCTGCCCCTGGGGAGGTTTAGCACAGCTAGCAGTATTTTTTTTCTTCTTCTTTTTATATCCTTCCACGATGACCCAGTTTTGTGATGATTTGAAATTCGAAACAAAGAAATAAATTAATCCGATGTGACATTTCATAACTTGTATTGCTTGCAACTATGTCAATAGGTATAATATACCAGAAACTGATAATAAATCGCGTCCTGATTTATCGAGTACCTACAATGTGCCAGGTACATCCTAATGACTGACAATCATTAAATTTCACAACAGCCCCATAAGGCATTATTATCCTCAGCTTTACTCCAGCAAAGTGCGGTTCACAAGATTGCTTTAGCAATCTGCCTAAGGCTGTAGAAGAGGAAGTGGGGGCCTCCAGAGTCAGATACAGGTCTGTGAGATTTCAAAGGAGGATTTCAAAGGAAGAACGACTCAGTTGGGAAACTATGAAAAGTTGAGAAACTACGAGCCTGCCAGAACTTTGCGTCTGAGTAGTGCTGCTGTGGTGGGACCTGCCACCTTGGGAGGTAGGACTCTGGGGACAGGCACATGGGGGATGAGTGAGGAGAGGGACAACAAGCTGTCCGGCGTTGAGACTGGCGACCTGGAGCTGACATCAGCACCCCTGGAGATGTCCCCACTGCACCCAGGACGACCTGTAACGGACTCGAGCTCACACATCGGATTGATGACAGAATTGGGACCCCAGCTGAAGTCTAGTTTCTGACTCCAGTTTCATTCCCGTCTTTCTGTAAGCTGACTATCTTTCCTTTAAGCCCAGCACAAAAGCCTCCTTCTCCACGATGCCTCAATTGACTCTTCTGGCCCCAGTGGCCTCCCTGCTCTGATACCAAGGACACTCCTCTCATTTGGCACTTGCCATATACTAACTTGTTAACTTGCCATCTTTGTGCATTTATTTTGATCATCTCACAGGTAGGGACTATATTTTGTATGTTTTTTGTGCCCACATAATATTCTTTTTTGTGTCCTCCATAGGATCTGGTATGACATCAAGGATGTGACGACACTCACTTATAGAACGTAAACTCGACCAGGCAATAGAGATGGACCAGCGACGTGGATCTGGATGTGGGAGCCTTTGCCCGGCCATCAAATGCACAGAGGTACTTACGGGATGTACCGTGCTTTTACAGTTAAGCATCTGGGCTTTCAAAAAGGCATCCTGGGCTTGAAACTCTAGCTGGGCCATCTTAACCCCCCTCAACTTTAATTTCCTAATCTGTAAAATACGAATAATAATGAATGGCTATAAAGTGCCTGAGAGCACCTGATGGAGAACTTCCATATGCTCCATACGTATTAAATGCTCAAAAATGCTATAGGTGTGGTTATAATTTTTAAATATAAGAGACCAAACCACTTGCTGAATGCACATTAAACAAGCAGACTAAGAATTTGCAGAAGTAAACTTGACATTCGACTTTGTCATCTCACTGCTCTGCAGGGCATAATTTTTTTTTAACACCTACGGCACCTGGTCTTCCTAGGTGGTCTCCCATCCAAGAACTAACCAGGCCCAACCATCCTTAGCTTCTGAGATCAGATGAGATCGGGCGTGTTCAGGGTGGCATGGCCGTAGATAAGACATAATTTTACGTAGGAATGCTCTCCTGTCCACATAGTGCTGCAACCCTGTCTTTGGGCTACAGATTTTAAACTAAAAGGCATTCATTGAGTGTCCACCTGTGTGCAGAATTCAGTTCTTCGGTGACAACAAGCAGGACCCAGGAGCCATTTACATGTCTCTATACTGGCGGTTCTCAGAGTGCGGTCCAAGGACCCCTGAGGCTATTTCAAGGGGTCTACGGGGTCAAAGCTCTTTCTGTAACAGCACTAAGATGGCTTCGCCTTTTCCACTCATTCACACGTGGACAGCGGTGCTGCTCAGAGGCTGCCTGAGCTGTGATAACGTCATCTCTCAGCTAATGGATTGAGAGTTTCCATATTCCTGGGTTTTTTTTCTTTTAATTTCTCAGTTTTAATTTTCATGGGGTAAATATCAAAGATGCAACCCACATTTAAACAAAACAAACAAAACAAAAATGATTTTTATGAGTGAGAAGGAATCCCGAGAGCAAAAGTTTTAGGAACCCAGGTGCAGATGCTTCTGGCTCACTGAGACGTCCCCTCTCCCACCTTCATCCATGAGCCACCTCCCAGTCTCCAGGACACTGTCGTAAAACCCTGTGAGCGGTGGTGAGGACGCCCCGTTAACTTGCAAATACGTTCTTCTGATGGGTCTGTTTCAGTCAGTCCTGCTGGCGTCCCGTCCACAATTAATGGTTGCAAAACAGCAAGAGCCACGTCTTCCCCGCCCCAGGCCCACAGAGTCTCTCTCTCATGGAAGAATCTTCTGCCTTTTAGGTTAAGAAAAACGCCCAGTCACAGGCTGCTGCTCCAGAAGACGGTCCCGCACACCGGCTCTTCTGTGCCCTTGCTCCCCGCTTGATGTTTCACCCTGAAAGCCTGAACGCCGTGCTCGGCTCCAAGAACTTCCCTTCCAGAGTTTGTGAAATAGCTTCGTTGAGAGTCTTACAATGGTTTTCTGTTTCCCAAGAGTATGCTATAGGGGTCATGGTTACAGACGTTAGGAAAGGCTGGGTGGGCTGGGCTAATTATATATGGATTATTGCCTCACATTTTCCTGTCCCGCAGACTCAATGCAGATGGTGAGACTGTGAGAGAAGCAGGGGCAGATTTGCCACCAAAGAGACAGGAAATCTCTGCAGGAGGCACACAAGCACGAGGGGCGTGTCTCCCACTGACCCTGGCATCGCTCCAGCAAATCCTTCCTTTTTTGGTTCAGGAGGGAGACAGGAGGGAGACAGCTTGCGTGGGCTCTGCCAAGGCTAACCAACTCTTGATTTCCCCAAACGAACGTTGGAACTTGCCAGCTTTAGGCTAAAGAGAGAAACCAGACACCTTTCAAGAAGAACAGCAAACGCACATTCCTCTTTAATTATACAGCTTCCTTAACTGTCTAATCACTTACAAACAGGTCCTTCCTAGAAGCATTCCTTCAGCAGATGACTATTCAGGAGATAAAATAGATCCTGGGAGTGTTTACAAAAGACATCTGCTTTCTTTGGCTAGTTGTCGCCATTAATCAAAATTTATGTGGAACGGCTCGTCTTTGGCAGAACAAGAATATAATCAAGATGACCCTGAAGGGCTAAAAAAGGTTAATGGACTGACATAGCATGTATGAATTCCACAAACATGCAGAACCAGTCTCCAAGGGTCCTCGAAATACGGAAATTAGGTGCCTGACTCAGGCGCGCACACGCGGAGCGGGGTCCACACACAGAGAGTCCATCGTTCGTTCTAGTCGCGACCTTTCCTGCTGCCCAGCCCATCAGGTCTATCCTTCCGACTGGCCTCTCTCCCTGCCTGGGAGCTGCCCGGCAAGTTGTTAGAAGGTTCAGAAGGCTCTAGAATCAGATTTCAAAGTACTTGCCAGTGAATTTCCCTCTCGGCTCTCCGACCCCACCCCCACCTGAAAGTCCTTCACTTGTTAACTCGGGGCCTCTCTTCCCTGCCCCTCAGGCCTGAGTCACTCACTTCACACCAGGAACAAAGTTTGCAAATACTTGGCTACCAGGAGTCGCTGTTCTCAGGGCCAGATGGAAGATTCAGATGCAGATTTAGAGAGCTAGTTTGTAGCTCCCAGAGCTGAGATAAATATGCCAAGAGCCGAGGAAGCAGGCGGGGGGG